TCTCCACTATCTCTAAAATGCAATCCATTTACATGTTCAGAGTATATACAACTTTTTTAAAAAATGGATATAGTAAGGAAAAATATATTTCTGGACTATTTCATAAAGCTTGGAAATCATATTGTACAAAAATATTAACAGTAAATGTAGTGAAACATTTAACAGATAACAGAAAAAAACCAAGACTGGCATCTAACACCCTAAGATCGACAGAAGATAACTAATGCCCCAGAAACTTCTCAAGGGGATTTAAACACAGGATTATGATGAGATCTATGTCAGCTATTTAAGAAAGCAAAAAAAAAAAAAAAAAAAAGACCCAGAGTATGTAACAATTCAGAAATCTGAGGTAGCAACCAGAAAACTCATTCAAATTCTTTTCATAAAGGACGGAGCAGAAAATTATGAAACCTCAAAGATTTGGGAAGATATAGAAAATTATAAAACAAGGTTTGAAAAAAAAAGCTCAGTGGCCTTTTCTTTAATCTCAAGAATGTGGAAAGGGTGAAAAAAGACATATAGATTCTAAAAACACAGGGACTGCTTGAACAATGGGGTGACAGCACCGATGGATACAAATTCCCATTAAACCCTAGGTACTCCACAAAAGGAAGGCTCTGCCCATTGCCTTGCCATACAGATGCATTTATGTGACGAGCAGCCCAAAAGAAGTATGTTTGGGGGAGATTAATTAATTCTGTCGTTTTTACCTGCCTTTGATGTTTTGACTCCAATCACACTGACAGGGAGTTTCTTTGCAAATGTTAGCAAATCTTCAGTTCTTCCAAATTCAGAGAACATGAATGAACCATATCCCTTTAAGTGGTAACCTAGCAACTTGCTGAAGGGATTAAAACAAGACCCTTGGGGAGGGAGGAGGATTCAAATCCCAGAAGCAGGAGTTCACGTCCTCTGAACTCCTAGCTTATTATTGGAGCAAGGACAGACCTTAAAGTTATTTCAAACTAGAACAGAGCCTGTTCAACAAGTTAAGTAGCACAAGTTTTGAGTGCCTACTATGTGCCAAATATTAAATGATCTCATTAATTCTTACAATGCCTGCAAGGTAGCTATGATCTCCGCTTCACTAATAATAAAGCAGGTTTAAAGTTTAAGTGATTGGCCCTGGACTCACAGCTAGTAAATACCAAAGCTGGGATTTGAACCAGTGATTAAGAACCCATGTATAGACTCTTTCCACTAGATCGCACGAGTTCTGATCCATGGTACTGTAACCTCTGAGGATAGCTACAGGCTAACCCCAGGAGTCAGAGACTACTGAAAATCAAAGAAGAACGGAGGACAAAAAAACAGTAGAGAAAATAAGTACACTTAAAAGTTGGCTCTTTAAAATGATCAAATGGCAAACTTCCAGCTGGCTTGAAAAGAAAAAAGAGATTCAAATTACTAAAAGCATAAATAAAATGGGGACATTGTTACTGTCCTTACAGAAATAAAGAGGATTATAGAAGAATACTACTAAATAAATACATACATACATACATACATACTATGAATGCTTGTATGCCAACAAATAAGATAAACTAAATGGACAAAAACTAAAAACACATAAACCACCAAAACTGACTCAATACAAAATACAAAATATGAATAGATATATAACAAGCAGAGGCTGAATCAGTAATAAGCCTCCAAATAAAGAAAAGCCCAGACTAGATGGATTCACCAGTGAATTCTATCAAACATAAAGAATCAACACCAATCCTTCTCAAACTCTTCCAAAAAAGGAGGGAACTCATTATATGATGCCAGCATTACTCTGATACCAAATGCAAATTAAGATATCACAAGGAAAGAAAACTACAGACAAAGTCCCTTATGAGTACACATGCAAATATCCTCAACAAAATACCAGCAAAGCAAATCACGCAGCATATTAAAAGGACTATACCGTGACCATAAAAGGTGGGATTTATCTCAGGAATACATGATGGTTCAACATACAAAAGTCAATCAATGTAACATAGCACATTAACAGAATGAAAAAGAAAAAAACCTCAATGTAGATGAGGCACTTGACAAATTCCATGATACCTTCGCATGATAAAAATGCTAAACAAAGAACAAGATGGAAATTTCCTCAACATGATAAAGAGCATTCATGAAAAACTCAAAGCTAAATTCATACTGAACAATGAAAGACAAAGCTTTCCCCACTAAGATCAGAAACAAGCAAGAGGAGCAGCTGGATGACTCAGTTGGTTAGTCACCCAACTCTTGATTTCAACTCAGGCAATGATTTCAGTTTGTGGGATTGAGCTCCATATTGGGCTCTGCACTGACTGCATGAAACCTGCTTGGGATTCTCTCTTCCTCTTTCTCTCTCTCTCAAAATAAATAAATAAAACATTTTTAAAAGGAGTTAAAAAGAAAAGAAAAGAAACAAGCCAGAGAAAGAAGCCCACTTTTACAAAACACTTCTATTGAACATTGTACTGAAAGTTCTAGCCACAGCAATTAGGCAAGAAAAAGAAATAAGGGACACCTGGGTGCCTCAGTTGGTTAAGCATCCCAACTCCTGACTTCAGCTCAAGTCATAGTCTCAGGGTTTGTGGGTTCAAGCCCCATATCGAATAACAGTGCAGAGCCTGCCTGGGATTTTCTAAATAAACAGGAAAGAAAGCAAGCAGAGAAGGAGGGAAGGGAAGGAGGGAGGAAAGGAGGGAGGGAGGGAGGGAAGGAGAAGCGAAGCGAAGCGAAGCGAAGCGAAGCGAAGCGAAGCGAAGCGAAAAGAAAAGAAAAGAAAAGAAAAGAAAAGAAAAGAAAAGAAAAGAAGGAAGGCAGGCAGGCATCCAGGATGGAAAGGAAAAAGTAAAATCTCTATATGAAGATGACATGATCTTCTATAGAGAGAATGCTAAAGAATACACACACACACACACACACACACACACACACACACACACACACACACTTAGAGCCAATAAATGAGTGCAGCAAGGTTTCAGGACTCAAGATCAACATACAAAAAGCTTATGTATTTCTACACACTGGCAATGAAAAACCCCAAAATTTAACTGAGAAAACAATTCCATTTATGATAGCATTAAAGAGAAAGAATATTGAGGAATAAAGTTAATCAAGGAACTCCAAAAGTTGTACGCTGGAAACTATAAAACATTGTTAAAGAAACTAAAGATGACCTAAATAAATGACAAGATAGCCCAGGTTTACAGCCTAGAAGACTTAACACTAAAAGGACAATATGCTCCCTATCACGATCCCAACAGCCATTTTTGCACAAATCAAAAATTTGATCCCAAAATTCATATGGAATTGCAAGGGATTCTGAATAGTCCAAAAAATCTTGAAAAAGGAGAATAAAGTTAAAGGACTCACACATCCCAATTTTAAAATTTAGTACAAAGGTATAGTAATCACAACAATGTGGCACTGGTATAAAGATAAATGGAATATTAAGAGTCCAGAAATAAATCCATACATCCACAGTCAGCTGATTTTCAATGACAGTGCCAAGGCTATTCAATAGGGAAAGAATAGTCTCTTCAACCAGGTATGCTGGGGCAATTCAATATTCACATGCCAAAGAAGGAAGGTAAACCCTCATCACATACTATATAAAAAAGTGAACTCAAAATGGATTAAGGACCAATTAGCTTGAATGTAAGAGCCTGACCTATACAACTCTTAGAAGAAAGCATAGGAATTATGACCTGTGATTAGGCAATGGTTCTTGAGCTATGACAACAACAGCATAAGCAACAAAAGAAAAAAAATAGATAAACTGCAGGCCATCAAAATTAACAACTTTTGCTGTTCACAAGAGAACATGATCATGCGAGTGAAAAGACAAAGCAGAAAACGGGAAAAAGAATTTGGAATCTGTGTATCTGATAAGGGCTAGTATCTAGAATGTTTGAGAACACTTACAACTCAACAACAAAAAGTCAAGCAAACCAATTCAAAAACAGGCAAAGGCTTTGAATAGACGTGTCTCTAAAGAAGATATACAAACAAACGGCCAAGAAGCACATGAAAAGATGCTCAATGTCATTAGTCATTAGGGGAATAAAAATCAAAACCATGATACCACTTCACACCCACTAATACACAGTCTAAAAAAACGGAAAATAACAAACATTGGTGAGGATGTGGAGAAAATGGAACTCTCCTACATCACTGATGCAGAATTGTGCAGACACTGTGGAATCTCCTTTGGTACCTCTTTAATAAATGAAACACAGAACTACCATAAGACCTAGTGATTCCATTCCCAGGTATAAACCCAAAAGAATTGAAAACAGGGGTCCAAACAAAAACTCATACATGAATCTTCAGAGCAGCACTGTTCACAATAGCCAAAAGGTGGAAACAACCACCAATGATCCATCAACTGATGAATGGATAAACAAAATACGGCATTTCGTGAAAAGGAATGAAGTACGGATACACGCTTCAACATGCATGAACCTTGAAAACATTATGCTAAGTGAAAAAAGCCAGACACAGAAGACGACATACTGTCTGAGTGGATTTGTACGAAATGTCCAGAATGGGGAAATCACTAGAGAAAGAACGGAGATGCACAGTTACTAGTTGCTGGGGTAAGGCGTAATAGGAAGTGACTACTTAATGGATACAGGGTTTACTTTAGGATGATGAAAATATTCTGGAACTAGGTCGTGGTGAGGGTTGTACAATAGTGTGACTATACTAAATGCCACTGAATTGTATGTTCTAAAATGGTTAGAAGGGCATATTTTGTTTTGCTATATTTTACCACAAAAGAATAATAATAACGCATGTACACATCCTGAAGAAAAAATTCAAAGAAGAAAAGCAATTTAAAATGCACAAAATTTAAGAAATTACAAATAATCCTTTCAGGCATAAAAAAAATCGCTAGATTTTTCTCGTGACCAAAGCCCTTTTCCTATTTACATGTGATATCGACTTCTGCAAGACAAGGGTACAGGGGCCATGCCAGCCCTGCCCTCTATGGGGGAGGTCATACCTACCTCCAATTACTCGAATATTGTTGTCCTTTGTCAGAATAGCCTCGGCATGGAATACCAAAACGGGAATTCTCCTGCAGCCTCCAGTCCACATGATACACGGATGATCCCTACAGCCGTAACAAGAGGCTTTCATTAATTGACAGCTCAAAGTCTGAAATTCCCACTGACGCAGATCGCTGTGGCTTGCTGCTTAGTGACTTTCCCTCTGCCTGGAACAAGAACCCCAAATGTCCGATGAGAAAGCATTCCTCTCCCATTCTTAGCCATGTGGTCTATTTAAGATTAACTCTGTTCCTGCTCCAGGGACGGGCTTTGATTGGCTTCGATTGGCTTCGATTGGCTCAGCCAGTCAGCGCCTCCCACCCCTCAGTTCTAGTTACTGGATCAGGGATGTGCATGCAAGCAAACTGGAGCCAGTAAGGGTCAGAAGATGTGCTGTGAGAGCCTTTGGAAGAAAGCTGCTTTCCTTCTCTTCCATAGTAACTGCAGGAGAGGTGGCTTCTTCCCCTTGACGGTGTAAGAGAATGAGGTCTAGAAGTACAACTGTCATTTCATGACCCTGAGAGAAAAGCCTGGAGCTGTCGGTAAAGGAGGAAGTCAGTGGGAACCTCACTGTCAGTGGGAAGAAGTAGAGAAATGAAATCCTGAGAAGCAAATGTGGAGCTGCAGAAATGAGTCTTTCCTAAATAGGAGACAATAACCTTTATGATGGGTAGCAGGAAAAAAATTTGAAAATAAAAAAATAAATTCCCTTTATTATTTAATACAACTTATGTTTTAATCCCTAGCACACATAAAGAATCCTAATATATAGCATTCACAATAATTTATACACCCTTTTATGCCGTATAGTCCCTTTTTAAGGGACTATTTGATGACCCATGCTAAGATTCTGAGCTAGGACCCCAAAATTAATACAAGCGCTCCAATTAAAACCACATATTTTAAAGCAAATCTATATTCAACGGAATAATATTTTTCTCCAGAAAAGGACTTCTGACTTTACTCTCTTTCTCTATCCTGAGGAAATCTGTTTAATCATTCTTAGACAGATGTATATTTATTCACAGATTAGAAAATCTTCAACCTCCTTCGTGTAAGGAGTTAGAAGGGAAAGAAATGACTGAGTCCATACTATATGCCAGGAATAAGAGCTTTCACATGCTATCTCACTTAATCCTCTTGCCCACACTAATAACTGAAAAACAAAGGTATCTCAGAGAGGGTAAGTGATTTGCTCAAGGTCACACAGCAGGTTAAGTAAGGGAAAAGATACCTGAACTCAAGTGTCTGCCTGGCCTTCCGTCCCTGCTGCGATCTCCCTAATCACACTGCAGTGATGTTTTGTTGTATACGGAACACCTTAAATCCAACCCTTTGGGAACCTAAACTAATCAATTCCTTAAATAGAATACCATCCAATTAGGCAAAGTTTGGATGGCTCTCAAAAACTCACATGACCACACCTCTTTAAAAAAGGTCACACTACAAATCTCAGGGCCAAGTCAAACCCTCCCAACCCATGTTTAAAAAGATCCCCATTTTGAATACACAGGCTGCCAAGCAGCCTTGAGACTTTGGATGAGCTGCTAAAGTGCTTTAGCAAAACAAAGCAGAGAATACCACACCTAGTTCATTTCCTGTTTTTTAGAACAGGAATGTGGATGTTAGCTGCTCCTGATTTTTGACTTGGGTACCAGTGCCCGTTTGTGAGAAAAGGTATTCATCAGGGGCCCTTTTCAGCAAGAAGGATTTTTTTGTGGTTTGCTTGCTTGTTAATCTTAAACATCTGTAAAATGTGGGCACAGGGCCAGATGTTTCTTAGGACCATTAATTTTTCTACTATATTTCTATAGTGAGAGTATAGAGAAAAACTATGCAGCCTAAACAGCAAAGTTTTGGACAGAAACTCTGGAAATGATGCAAAGTCTCTTGTCAATCTAGCACTAGTTACAAACTGGCACCACTCTGCCTTCCCGCTTACAAACAGTGGATCACTGCTACAAGTTAAAATGCGTGACAAGAGCCAGGAACAAATAAACAGATAAATAATATACAAGGCTCAATAAACAGATACAAGGCCAAGAAGAGCCAAGGCCCTAGCGATGCTATTTATGGAAAGCCAAATCCCTGATGGAGAAATCCTTCCGCTTACAATTTATGAAAAGATAAAAGAGGGAAGATGAATTCAGAAGATCAACTAAAACACACTTAAGGCAGATGCTACGTCGTCATTAAAAGCATGCTCCCGCCAGGTGGTGCTAAAGGCAAAAGATTCAAAATGGTCAGGAACCCGAAAATTAGAGGACTTTAAATCTTCATTCATACCAGAAATTGGTATACATTAAGAAAATAAGCTCTTATAGACATGAACGAACACACGACTTGGATGATTCCCGAAGTAGAAGGTTTGAAGGTTCACTTTATTGAAAGCCTATTGGTTCTTAAAAACACAATTTCATGAGGCATATATATTATTCACTCCTGGGATCTAGCCTACATAATTGAAAGCATCTATGCCTTATTCATACCAGTGCCCCTGCTGGAAATGTCTTCCCCATTTCTGTTCATTTAACCCCACATTTAAGGCCCAGTTCATCTCACACTACCTTCATGGGGCCTTCCCCTCCTCCTCCTCCAGCCCACAGTGATGCCATCTTTCTCTGCGTTCCTGTAGTAACCCCTGTATAACTGTTGACGATCTTTTTTTTCCCCATGTATATGTTGATGAACTGATATAAAGCTGGCTTTTATGATAGGAATTAAAATTATTTTTTTTAAGAAACCTTATATCTAATCCTTCCACATCTATATACAAATTTGTATTTGGGAACCCCTAGCAAAATATAGAAAAAGAGCCCCTTTAAATTTAGTATTGGCAATAACGCCATGCAAAACAAGGATTGCCTGGACAGTTTCTAGGCCTGAAGTCCAGGACTGCCAGGCATTAGCACTTTAACACAGCCTTGGGGTCTGAGCAGATCGAGGAGATGGCCGTGGACAGACATCTTTGGATCAAATCAACATCCTTAGGTGATTTAAGGCCTTTGAACTCCCAAAACTTTAAAAATGAAAGCCTATCACTCCAAGCGTGAACAAGATTGGCTTAAGATTCCTGATGTATAAAATAAGTCTGATAGTCAAAACACGATGGAACACTAACAGTCAGAATTTAACAGGAGTTTGAAAGGAAGAAGAGCGAAAATACACGAATTTGGATTGGGGTGGGGAACGACACCTGTATTTTTACTTACTCCTTCTAGAAATTTCACATTTCTCAACTACGAATATGGGCAAGAAAGCACAGTAGTCTAAGCATCATCTGTGCCTTTGAGTCTGAAATTACAGATTTTTTATCGCGTATTACACAGTTGTGGCAGGCACCTCAAAACACCATTTACATGTATCATCTACAGTAGTTATTAACCTTGCCACTAGATTGCCTGTGGTCAGTCTTCCTAATCTGACATGATGAGGCCGGACAATGATTTGGCAGCTCCCCCACAAGGCAGTCAGTCAGCTGCCAGATGGTGACAGGTCACAGCAGTGGTCCGGACAACTAAGATGCTTCCCGACATCCTCCGCTGATAAATGCTGACCAAACACTACGCCACAGGGCGATGAGCTCACCCCAACTGAGCAAAACCAGTCTTCGTGCTGCTGTCTTTGAGAAAGAAAATTTAACTTTCCCACGTTTTGAATGAAGAATCTGTTACTGAATGCAGTAACGAAAAAGCACATGTTACTGTACTGTATCACAGGTTTGGGTTTTTTCAATCTTAATAACTGTGCTTCAGTGTAAATTGGTACTATTTTTAATGATATGTATTTTATTTTAAGCACCTAAAAATATTATTCTGATAAGGGATACATGGCATAAAAAAAAAAGCTAAGAACCCCTGATCTAAGGTGATCTAAAGCATAATGTCTCCATTTATTCATTCATTCATTCAGTCACTCAGTCAACAAGTATTTACTGAGTACCTTCTATAATGCTAGGTTGAACCATCTGAAACTGTCAATATCTGACTACTTTTGATCCATCAAAACAGCAATTTCATAGAGTTCAATCTAATACTCATCAGACCCAACTCTTAAGCCCACTAATAAAACAGTCATGAAATAAAAGAATGATCTTGAAATCAGAAAGACTGATGCGTGCAGCAGAAGTTAAAAATTTTGTGAAACAGGTAAGTAACAGCACACAGAAAGCAAAAAGTCACAAGAAGCTAAAGTGACTACAGGGAATTATCTACTTAATTATCCTGAATAAGACTGACCTAAATATAATGTCAAATCTCTATTTTTTCTATGACCTAAAGTGACAAGAAGCCTCTCTCCCAAGCTTCATGAATGCTTCAATAATTTTTTGTGGCTCTATTAAATAATGTAATCTTCTACTTTAAAATAAGAAATCCATTTTATTTATTTATTTTTTCTAATAGTTTATTGTCAAATTAGTGTCCGCATAACACTCAGTGCTCATCCCCAAGAAATCCATTTTAAATTCAATATTAAAACTAGTAAGAATAATGCCTTAACATCTGATAGTACTTCATCATTTATAAAGTAATTTCATACCTATCATTCTATTTGGTCCTAATCATCCCTTTACAAAATAGCCTGGGAGATTTTATCCCCACTTTTTAGGTTACATAGCATACAAGTACGTAAGGAGACTCACAGAGAATCTTAAAAACTAATCTTAACTTCAAGTCAGACTCTCTCTTTGTTCTCTGTGTCAAGTAATAATGTTATAGGAGGGAAAACAGCAAAGTACCTTAAAATCCAGGAAAACTAGGTCTGAATCTCAATCCCTCACTTACTCTCCCTGAGTCCCTGAAAAAGTTCTCTGATATTTGCATGGCCAAGCTTCATACAGTGGGAATAATAACATCTTCAGATTCAGTGAGATACATCAGTTAGAGCCCTAAGCGTCATCTATGCTAAATGATAAGCTGCACTTATCACCATCACTTATTATTAGTATTAGTATTAGTATGAGGATCCAGCAGTCAAAAAACTTGGCTCTTACCCAAAAGAACTCAGGAAAGCAGTGGCTTTCAATATTAAATTGATTTGTGGCTCAATGCACACAGGACAGGTTATAGAATTCTAACATACTGCTCCACAGTTACGCTGGTAAGTTACTTGACCTCTCTATATACTACCATTCTGTGGTTGTAAAAGCTTTTGAGAAAATAACATAACCTATCTCATAGAGTTCACAGAGTTTGGAGGCCTACTTTGCCTTAATATCTACAAATATCAAAATCTCCTATGTTAGGAGCTCCAATCAAGAGTACACAAAGAGTAACATCTAGAGCCAACGTTCACTCATGAGCCCAGAAACAAAGCCTTATCTCATTTCAGATAGTGGATGGTGACCAACTAATAACATCTTGAATTAGATCATGGTTAAAATAAGAGACTCTTAAATACAGAGAATAAACTGAGGGTTGATGGGGGGGGAGAGGGGAAAAATGGGTGATCGGCATGGAGGAGGGCACTTGGTGGGATGAGCACCGGGTGTTGTATGTAAGCGATGAACCGTGGCAATCTACCCACAAAACCAAGAGCATACTGTACAATTGTATGTTAGCTGATATGACAATAAATTGTTAAAAAAAAAAAAATCATGGTTAGAAACTAAAACTAGAGTCAGGCTATACCAAAAGAAGGACTGAGTAAAAGAAGGTATAAGTAAAAGAGAAATATTTTCCACCCTAAAGGCAAAGGCTCAAAAGCAGGCTTGCTCTTACTTACTCTTGGCTTACCACCTCCTCATCCTCTGAGGATGATGCTGTCTCCTCCAGGTCCCGGGCCATCACGACTGGCATTTCCTTTAGGGTTTGTCATGCAGTCAGCAGACGGGGGCCTCAGAGACCTTTCCTTGCAGATTCACTGGATCAAACAATTTAGTTGGCACTGATTCCTGCAAGAAGGCCAAATGATGTAAAACACAACAGAGCTATCTATTTGTTGGTTATTGCTATTGATCTTCTAAATCACAAAAATGAATATTTACCTAAATGGTGCCCAACCTCTGGAAGCTCACTTTCTGTCACAGTGCCCCAATAATGCCACAAACACCAATAAAAATTTTCAAACATACTGTCTGTCCTCTGTGTATTTAAAGAGCTGTCGTTAAAAAATAATAAAGACCTCTTGTTAAGTTTGAGCTTCTCATTTTTCTTTTATATACTAAATCTAATAAGACTTCGCTTTTAGGAAAGTCTGAGGTAGGTGGTCGATTGCCTAAAACACAGACTCCTTGCTTAGAAAAACTTGATCTGCGTTAAAAATAAAAACTCAAGATTTACGATTCTTGAAATTATTTCTTTAGACTCTATGACAAGCACAGACAGGTAAAATGCCCTCATGTTTCCACTAAAACAAATTCAACCACTAAACTGAAAGAGTAATATATTCTCCTGAATCAAGGTCATAAATAGCTGCCAAAAAAACACAAAACCTGTCCTTCCAAACGCTCAAAAATTATTCTCCCTTATTAAAAATCACAAGCTATGATCTGAATCTCGAAACGACATTGAAATTAGGATATTTCTAACTTAAAATATGTTTTCATAGTAAAAAGTACATGTTTGTTGTGCCTTTAGGGCTGAACTGGAAATCACAGATAAGGAAAACGAAAATGTTTAAATGACCATAACCCTATCACTCAGAGATAACCATCTGATGTCGATCTTTGCAAATCTGACTTTTCTACGCGTTCATATACACCTATAAGATCGTAAACAGGACAAAAAACCGTGGATCCTCATAATGATCCCTACAGATCTTCAGGGGAATGGGCACGACCTAGTAACTTCAAAGGCGTTCTTCGGGGGAATCCCAACGGGATTTCTCGATCTTTCCCAAAATGCTGGGAAGTCCTTTAAATTAAAACGAAACAAACAAAACCTCCAAGCGAGGAACGGATGCCCAATCTGCCCCAGGCTGCCAGCGGAGTGGAGAGAGACACGGAGATCGGAAGAAGATTAAGGACAACTCGCCCAAGAAGCGTCCTCGCCCTAAAGGGATCAGCCCCTCAGCCCCATCCCCAGCTCACCCCAATCCCAGGTAGGTCCTCAGATGCTCCCCACGGAAAGGACAGGGGCGACTCCGCCGCAGCGCTTCAGCCCAGCGCGCCCGGAAGCCAACAGCTGCTCCGAGACTTCTAGAGGGAAGTGCAGCAGCCGGCGCCCGCCCAGACCCGGGAGCTCACCTCCGTCGGGTAGAGGAGCGCGCCGGCGCAGGCCTTTACCTGTCTCATCTTCCCATGGCTCCGGGCGGACGGGCGGGGACCGCGCTCAGCGCCTACCACCCTCTTCCTTCCCCAGCCGGGCTCACGGCAGCCGCCGACGGCTGCTTCCCCCGTTACTACAACAACCAACAAGCAACCGCCCGCTGGGAGCCACTGCGCAGGCGCCCGCCACCCCGCGCTGAAAACGCTCGGCTTCGGGCGCGGAGGGATTTCGTCACCACGGCGCAGCGCGGAGACGCAGCGGTTTGCTCTCAACAGAAGCCTTGACTTCTTTTTTCCTCTCTTTCTGCCTCCTCAAGGCTTGACTCCCGCCGCGGAGTTCTTCCGCCACGCTCAACAAGAGGGCTCACTGCGTGAGCGGCGGTACACGGGAAAGCTTGAGAAGCGGCACCCGCTGATTGGCAGGAAAGGGGTTCACGCCCCATCTCCTGCTCCAGCAAAGCCTCAGCAGCCAATCAGAGCGGGGACGGACGGAACCGACCCAATCCTGGAGCCGCGTTGTGGGCGGGTGGGAGGACAAATGGCTCAGGTGGACTCCTCGCTGGAGCCGTGTTGGAGCTTTGCTGCTGCTGCTCGTCCTGCCGCTGCCGCTGCTCAACTAGGGGTCAGGCTACCAGGTACGGACAATACGGGGAGAAGAGAGAGGGAGTTATTTTGGGGCCATCTGATTGAGAGGATCCGGAGAGTCTGGAAAAATGGGGGTGGGATGGAAGGAAGATCCCTGGGAGGCAACCTTCTGGGGGACAAGGGGTTCGAGAGACCTTGAGAAGGAGGCGCTAGGACTATGAAGATGAAGGCTTGGGAGGTTCGGGAAACCAATGAATGGATGGATGAATGAGCGGCCACTATGAGCCTAGCCCAGGGCAAGGAACCTTCACTTTCTCATGTAATTCTCACAATAACCCTTGCGATTGGTATCTTTCAAGCTCCATTTTGCAGATTTCTCACCCAGGGTCACACAGGTACTAAATGATTGGGGCAGGACAGGGACCTCTCTCTCTCCTGACTAGTTTTAACACACCTTTGCCGGGCCGCGCCAGGAGAAAATTTGAGAATAGATGTTGGATACTTTAGGAGTCCCTAAAGCTTTAGGGAAATGGGGTTGAGGGATTGATAGAGCGGTTCGGAAGAGTGCTCAGGCTCTGCACTCATCGGTTATCCGTGCGGATTTCTAAGAGCTTCCGTGAGATGGGCATAAGTTCTCTCGAAGACGGGGCCATCCATCAGGCTTTTCTGCCCTGGGAGGAGAAAGCCTGAGTCTCCTATTGAGGAATGGTGAGAAAATAAGGAGGCAGGGGGAGGGGGAGTATCTTGAAAGATGGGGGAATGAATCTTGGCTCATGCAGGGACCTCTTCTGATCGCCAGTAAAGCTCTGTTCTCTCTGGGCTTCAACTAGGTCCACTGTTGTGATCTACCATTCCCTGAGGAATTCAGGCTTCCTCCTCTAGAGCTTTTCTTTTCTTTTCAGTGCTTCACAGTGTTAGGCCATTGCTGACTTTAATATCTATTTCAGCCTTGTAGCATAATATACTGAAACTTCTGCCAGAGTGACAAAGGAAGCCTGATAGTTTATCACCACTTCAGGCCCAAGAACTTAACCTGACAACAGATAAATTGTGGGGAAAGCAAAAAAGCAACAACAACAACAAAAACCCAAAAAACCCAGCAGCAACAACAAAAACTATAGTGAAGATGAGAAATAGTTCTATTATTAAATTCTCTGAGTTTTATTTAAATCAAGTTGATTCAAATCATTGCTACTCAAGAGTTCATCTTTATTTTAAACAAAAAGTATATAATGTAAGTAACTTTGTATACAACTTCAAGACAGAAGAGGGAGAAGAGTTTGATGGAAGTTTCTATTTTTTTTTAAACGAAGTTTCTATTTTTAAGGAAGACAAACATAGGATACCCTATTCTCAAACAGTGAGGCAGTATTTCCATCTAGAGTCCGATAGATTATGGTTTGTATCTCAGCTCTGCCATATATTAGCTGGGTCACCAAGCAAACCCCTTAATTTCTCTGTGCCAACCCTCATCTGTAAAATGGAAAGAGTAATAGTGCCTACCCACCTGTTTAAGGATTGATTAGATGAGATCATGTATGTTAGGTGTTTGGCAGAGTGCATGGCATATTCAAGTCCCCAGTAACTGTTAGCTGGTACTATTTCTCTTGCAACCCAACACCAACATTGCTGTTTCGTTCTCTGTATAATTTTCCTGCTACTTCTCAAGTCATGGCAGTCTATTTATTTTTAACTTTCATATTGTTCAGCTTATGGAGCATGATGTACCTGAGAACCAGAGTAGAGAAAATCTGAAAGTGTAAATGTTGCCCTTCGTCCACAGGTTCCGCTCTAATGTATAAGGCTTTTATGTGCTTGGAAGGCTCTGTCATCAGTAGCCAGGCAGGTAAACATCTAGACTTATAGTCACCTTTGAGCTATTTGCCTACAAAGAAGGACAAAAAACTAGGCTAGAAGTAAAGCTATCAAAGGACTGATTCCAACCAAGAGAAAAGGCTAACATTGTGGAGAAGTTGCTTGAACAAAAATAAGTACTATGCCACTTACCGCAAAGTATACTGTGGATCCACCACTATTAGTATAACTAAATATTGAGACTAAGTTCTAGAAGTCTTACTCAGAAGTCCGTTTTATCACTGGGCACCCGGGTGGCTCAGTCAATTAAGCATCCAACTTTTGATTTCTGCTCAGGTCATGATCTCACAGTTTGTGAGATCAAGCTCAAAGTTCATGAGATTCTCTCTGTCTCTGTCTCTCTCACTCTCTCTGTCAATAAATAAATAACCTTTAAAGGAAAAAAAGACCATTTTGTTACTTTGTAGTAAAATCGGTGTCCCTCCTTTTCATCTATTCCCTTTTTCTCCATTTTTTTTTTTTTTGGCTAGGTTTGCCATTTCCAGCCACTATGTTTATTTCACCTTTTTCACTCTAGCTGAAGGGTAGCACCATTAGGTTTTGAAATATCTAAAGGCAACGTGCTAAGCCTGTGAAGTAACAATAGTCAAGATAATAGATAAGCCTCAGAGACTTAGAAAGCAATTCACAAAGTGACGGCCCAGATAAACTTAGTACAGCTCTGATGAGTGGGACACAAGTTAACTACACAAGTCAGAGCGCTCATGGTTGAAGTAGAATAATTGTTGTCGCATGTGTTTTGCCCTTGTTTCCAAGGCAAAAAGCCCTCTCAGGTTGGACAGAAGTCATGAGCCGTTTCTTGAACGTGTTACGAAGCTGGCTGGTTATGGTGTCCATCATAGCCATGGGAAACACGCTACAGAGCTTCCGAGACCACACCTTTCTCTACGAGAAGCTCTACACCGGCAAGCCAGACCTAGGTAAGAAGTCGGAGAATTGCCTCCTTTGCGGGAGCCGCCTAAATTGTGGTTCCTAGACCAGGCTGTCCATGAGAGCAACCCTCATGGAAATTTAAAAAACGAACAAACAAGAAGCCCATTTTCTTCTCCAAGCTTATTTCCTAAAACTTCCACCCCACCGCTCAGTGGGACCCAAGAGTCTATTTTTTTTTTATAACTTCCCAGGTGATTCTGATGCTGGCTGACCTAACCTTTAGCAGCCAGTGGAATAATAGACTTTGTGGATAGCACTTGGCCCTTTCACCCCCCAAGCTTGTCTGAATACCTTTTCATTCATTTTATACTGTCCTATACATTTTATAGGCAGTACAAAAAGTATTACCAGGGTGAGTGAGGAAATAGAATTCTTTGGTGACTCTGGGATGCCCCACTAGAAAGCTGTAAAGAAGCCTTTCATATTATGTCAGCCCTCTTCAGAAACTAGGTGGTGCCCCATATGGTTTATATTCAGTGTTGCAGACGGGGAGTTACTAAACCAAAGTCTTCCCAAACCATGAAGAGCCCCTGAGAAGATATCCGACATTCCTCTGAGCTGGCCTCCCAAAGTGAGGCTTAGAAGGGCTCCCCCAGCTCCCTGAGCCTCTCAGCCGAGACCCTTTGCACATTTCAGCTCGCGCTTCCGTGCACTGATGTGTGGGGTAGTGGGGCTTGAGCTGCAGGGCCGTTTCACGCAGCTGACAATTCTGTGTCACATTTATAGCTAACCCAGATCTGGGCTCTGACCTAGCTCATTTTTCTGCAACATCTCCACATAAAGTGAATCTAAGTAGGCTAAGGCTCATTTTGAACAAAACTCAAGTACAATAGGAGTAAAGAACCTGGTAGAGTGGGTGGGACAGTTCACTTCTTCACCCTCAAATACTGCCCTCTGATGACTGTAGATTTGCAGGATTGCAGAGCTGATCTGATCCAGTCCTTTTTTTTTTTTGAAAGCACACACACAAGTTGGGGAGAGGGAGAGGGAGGGAAAGAATCTTAAGCAGCTCCACGCTCAGCACAGACCCCAACACGGGACTGTGAGGTTATGGCCTGAGCCAAAATCAAAAGTTAGACACTTAACCAACTGAGCCACCCAGGCACCCCTGGTCTTATCTTTGAAAGTTGACAGAGAAAAGTCCAGGGGTCATGTGGTTCACTCAAGGGCATATAGCTGTGCAGAAGAACTGTGGGTAGGTGGGTAGGTAGGTGGTTGTCTCCAGCCCGGAAGTAGAGACTGCCTTCCTCCTCCTAATCCGGGGGCTGTCATGGTGCTCTACTGATGATCACAGTATTGTGAGCATCCTGTAGAATGTCACCTGATGCCTAATCTGGTTAGGGCTGGTGAAACACTCCACTTTTGTATCTCACTAACTAGAGACATTTCCTCAATCCTTTCATTAGAAAAGCTATCAAATTGGCTTATAAAGATTATAGGCTTCCAGGGCCAACCACTAGATATTTGGCTGGCATACGGAATTTTTTCCCACCTTACTACCATGTAAAGGTCTTCAGGGTTGTCAAATTGGTATCACTGTCTGGTTTTCCAAAGGATTTTCCAAAATCCTTAAAGCCCAAATAAACATTAATAACATTAATAGACCTTTCGGTTATTAGTCTTGTCCCTTGAAATTTCTCTTGCTCAATAGATCAGCAAAGGAAGCATCTCTGCTTTCACCATTTTGGCATTCCTGGCCACAGGATGCCTTAGATAAATGCCTATACATTGCAATCAACCCAGGGAGAGATTTTAGAAAATACTTAATACCCAGGGCCTACCTTCAGAGAATACGTTTTAATTGGTCTGGTTCCCAGATCTTGGTAATTTTATAAAACTTCTTTAGTTGACTCTAATAAACACCCAGGGTCAAGAACCACTGCTGTGGTAAACTATGATCAATACTTTCCAGACAAGGCGTTTAGTATAGCAATGTCAGAACAAAGGCACCAAGAGCAGGGTGTCCTCAGCAAACACCAAAGAAGCAGTGCTTTGTCCCAGTGCCAAGCACACTGGAAAGCAGCTTGGTCTGGGCCTTGCTCAAATAATATAGATCTGGATCCAAGAGAAGACTTAGGTCTCTTCAAGACCAGATTGGGAATCTAGATAAGCCCCAGTATTTCAGAGTTCTCTCCTGCATCAGCCTTGAAAGTGTACTGACCACCTAGATACTTTGTATGGACAGACCACTATGTGCAACATTCCCGCAAATCTGTGCTGACCCAGACTTGCTGAACTTCACCAGCACCAGAGTGGCTTCCCAGGCAGAAGTATAAACTACTACATTCAGGAGTCACTGCCTAAGTGGGCCCTTTGATGGGTTTCTGCTCTTGAAACTCCCCACGCAACTGTAGACATATGAAGCGGAGCTGAGCAATTCTCATTCTGGAATTCCTTCCATTCCTTCTAGTGCCCCTCTGTAGCACCAGAGCCTCCCCTCTGCCCAGCCAAAGGGAGTTCGGGCTCAGCAACCTGCCTCCCATGAACCACCAGTGCGGTGAGAGGAGTTTGGAGGGAGCCTAACCCTCCCCCTCTCAACACTCTTGATTTTTTTCTGCTCTACAGTGAATGGCCTCCAGGCTCGGACCTTTGGGATCTGGACGCTGCTCTCATCAGTGATTCGCTGCCTCTGTGCCATCGACATCCACAACAAGACGTATGTAAGGGAAGGAAGAGCTTAAGCATCCCTTTGTTGGAAATCAGGTGCCAGGCATGCCCAGTGCTACCCTCCCCTTGGACACCTGCTAATTCTCATACATTAGCCTAGAGCATGGATAATAAAAGGTTAATAGGTTCTATTCTTTCTAAGCCAAAAAAACATAAGAGGCCTAACAGGTCTTTAAAGTTTGAAAATTCTTTGGAAGTCAATAGCAACTGACCATTGCTATGGACCCAGTAGCCTGCATCACACCCCTCCACTTCTCTACCAAAGAATTAGCCTTTTTCTGCTAAAGAAGTAGAGTAGTGTGCTCTTTTTTAGAGCAGCCACCCACATATACCTTATTCTCACATTCCTCAAGAAGTAGGAAAGACCAGAAATTACAATCCCTGAAAAAAGGAACCCACAAGTAAACTGCTGTATGCTTATGCAGAGTCCATATGTGAGGGTAAAAGAGAACCCAGGACTCCCAATCTTCTGCCTCGCCAGGCTACTCACACTAGTGTGGAACATTTGCAGCCGGTCATAGCCTCCTGTCTACATAATGGCTGTAACCGCTGCTGACCACTGGAGGGGGCTCGAGCTTTCTTTCCAACAGTCCTCGCCACAGCCAAAGTGGAAAGTTGGCTCAGGTCAGTGACTAAGGCCACCAGAACACCAGCATCACACTAAAATGTCTTTCTGTCATATCTAAGCTCTCAGCATTTGGGAAAAGAGGAGGTAATGATATTTACCGAGCACCTCCGATTATGCCAGGAGCTTTTATCTACATGACCTTGATTATGTCACTTAGCAGCTGTGGGTGGTAATGGCTTTCATTCCTGCTTTTGCAGAGCTACATATTAGAGACCCAATTAATTTGAGTTGAAGACCAACTCAAGTGGGATTTGAAGCCGTGCTATTAACCCTGCAATCTCTCCAACTTTTTTTTATTTTTTTTATTTTTATTTTTCGGAACTTGAAACTATAGTTTGACTTGTTCTAGATTGACATGTATTTTTGGAAGCAGTGTGATTTAGTGGAAACAGCCTGGGGCCCAAGAATGAAAAGAAGAAAATGGGCTCTTGTCTCAGTTCTCCTGGAATCTAATTTTGTAGCTGCAAGTTCATTATACAGTTGACCCTTGAACAACGTGGGGGTTAGGTACACTGGCTCCCCATAGTTGAAAATCCACATAAAACTTTTGACACCCCCAAAACTTAACTACTAACGGCCTACTACTGACCAGAAGCCTTACTGATAAGAAAGTCATTAATACATATTTTGTACATAATCTGTGTTATATGTTATAGTCATACAATAAAGCCAGAGAAAAGATGTTACTAAGAAAATCACAAGGAAGAACAAATACATTTCCAGTACTGTACTGTATTTATCTTTAAAAATCCATATATAGGGGTGCGTGGGTGGCTCAGTTGGTTAAGCATCCAACTCTTGATTTCAGCTCAGGTCATGATCTCATGGTTCATGAGATGGAGCCCCATGTTGGGCTCTGGGCTAACAGAGCAGAGCCTGCCTGGGATTCTGTCTCCCTCTCTCTGCCCCTCCCTCACTTTCTCCATCTTTCTCTCTCTCAAAATAAATAAACAAACATTTAAAAGTCCACATATCACATATAAGTGGACCCATGCCGTTCAAAGCCATGTTGTTCAAGGATCAGCTGTTCACTTTCTCTGCATCTTGGTCTCTCTGTGAAGAAAATGAAACTAGTATCGCTATTCTACCTCTCCAGGTGCCTGGGAGGGAGTAAGGACTGAATAATTCTTAAAGACCTTTACCATGATAAAGAATTGCTGATAGGTATAAGAGGTATGTCTTGCATTTGCTATGCTTTAGGAATGAGACTTACCTCATCATCACCCATTCACTTCCCCTTCTTCCAGCACAGGATAGCCACAAATGCTGACTTCTGTTTCTAAAGCCTTTTTTAGCCTGGGACTCTGGTCCATGTTCTTCTGACCTACACTGAGATTCTCTTTCCTCCCTAACCAGAAATTCAGAATCAACACCCAAGCAAAATTATTTACTGAATGTATAAAAATATGCACAGGAATGATAAGAGTCAAATTTAACATAGCAGTTCTTTCTGTGGAAGGGGGAGGGAGGCATGGGAATGAGGTCCAAAGGGATCAGGACACACAGAATGCTTTAACTTATATCTGTAATATTTTATCTTAGAAAAAAAGTATCTGAAGCAAAAATGTCAAAACATCCGGATTTGCTGGAGCAGGGTATTGGTTGCATAGGTTAATTACAGTACTCTCTTACCCACAGTGTTTTGTATGTTTGCAGTATTTCATAATTCTAAAATTTTCATAGTTAAAAAAATATCTCCGATCCACGTGGCCATTCGTCCTGTAACCTCTCTTTTCTCTACCTCTTCGTCACAACGGAGGAAGAAGTTCTCTTCCCCTGAGATTATCACTGTCCTTCACCTGACCATTTTCCTAGGCTAAGATACTAAATAACCAGCCCCTGTTACAAGAGCATCTAAAATCCCCAAAGAGGTCCTTGCTGCTCACGCCCCATTCAGGCCCTTCGTTTTGTGGCATCCCTCATATCCACCTACCAGGTGGGCTTAGACTCCAGAGCCAAGTGAGTAGAATATGTAAGCGTGATTGATCCGAAACTGTCTATACTGCTAGGACTGCCATAACCCAGACTCGCTTTGCTGGAGCCGACTTCACCACCTGGCCACAACTCAGAGACCCACTCCGGATGCCTGGACCGCGCGCTCTCAGGCTAGCAGTGGAGACCTTCCATTTTGCCCTAGTAGAGGGTAAATCGATGTGGTCGAGCACACAGGTCTTCCTCCGGCCCAGGTGCCCCCTCCCTTTAGCCATAATTGCTCCCTGGGTTGGTCTCTTTGTGTGCAGAGTCAGACCTCTCCTCTCCGTCTGCACCCCGCAAGCAGGACCTCTGTCCCCATGTCTTGTAGGCTGTACCACATCACACTCTGGACCTTCCTCCTCGCCCTGGGGCACTTCCTCTCTGAGCTGTTTGTCTTTGGGACCGCAGCTCCCACGATTGGCGTCCTGGCACCCCTGATGGTGGCAAGTAAGCATCCAAGCACCCCAGACCTCCCGCGGGAAATGCCCCCCTTGGGCTGGGGCAGGAGGGACAGGCACACAAGGGTGTCAGAAAGTGCAGTGCCTACATCAGCCACGGACCTTTTCTCTGTATTCAAGGTTTCTCGATCCTGGGTATGCTAGTTGGGCTCCAGTACCTAGAAGTAGAACCGGTATCCAGACAGAAGAAGAGGAACTGAGGCCAACATTACCAACTCCAAGACTCCATCCTCCACCCTGGCTGTCCCCTACTTTCATCCTCCCTCCTCTTTTACTTATTCTTTTCTGCACCATCCTGAGCCCCCAACCTACTAACCTTTTACGTTTGGGGTTTTTCTTTCATTTAAAAATGTTTACGATACTGTATAACCTTCATAACAGAAAAGCATATAATGTGTACATACAATTTAAAGAATCATTTTAAGGTGGATACCCTGTACCTTCACCCAGATCAAGAAACTGTCAGCACCTTAGAAACCCACCGCGTGCCCTCCCTCCACCGGCAGCCTCTTCCAGGACCCTCTTCCGGCCTTCTGCTTTTTCCCTTTTATTTCCATCCCTGCGTCTGACTTGTGTGGTGGGAACACATGAACTCTGCAAATTGCAGCTGCTGCCTCACCCAGAGCAGCTGCCATCAAGGGCTGCTTCGGGGCTGCCCTCCCAGGTCGGGCTCCTCTCTGCTGCTGGACCCGAGACTGAACCATCTGAGAAACGGGCAGTTCTTCTAAGAAGGGCTCCCTTGTGAGTGACCCTGGCTCCTACCCTTGTGTCTACAAGTGGATCAGGCTTGGAAGAGTCTGGGCTGTTTTTAGACCTTCTGGTCAGCTCTATTTGTGTGTAACAAATTTTGTAATAAACAGAAAAACCTTCCGCTCAGATGGGTCCTTGTACTTTGACCTCCCCTAAGCCACGAGTGCTCCTGCTCTCCTCTGAGCCATAGCGGAGAAGAATCACAGCTTTTTGCTAATCAAACAGACCGTAATGAGGACAGCTGAACGACTCAGGCACACCTGCCTGCCGCGGCGCCTCGGGTCACTTGTTCATTTCCCCTGAAGTCCAATCTGCCTCTCCTTCCCTATCTTCAAGATTCTGAGTTTCACAGCAGCATAGTCAGGACCCTTTCTTGTTTTCTTGCTAAGGAAGAAACAGGTTCTTGAGAAAGCAGAGGCCGAAAATAGCACAGAAGAACGGCTGTCTGATCATGGAAAGAAGAGCTTGAAACCCCAATGATAAAGGGCTGGAGCAGGTCGTTGCCCTCCAGACAATTCTGAGGGGCTCCTTGCTGGTCGGGCCCATACACAGTGGGTACACACGAGAACCCATTCATTACTTCAACAAAGTATTTATTGAACATTCGACTCCAGACCAGACACTTGAGAAAGAGAAATGATGACCCAGGCAACATCCCTGTCCCTGTGGCCCTTACAGTGAAGTCAAGGAAACGGACAATCAGCAAAGCAGCACACAGAGAAACAACATCAGACACTAAGAACTCTAGAATACAAGGTATTATGATCAAGAAGGAAGGGAGTGCACAATTTAGATTATCAGGAAAGGACTCCCTGAGGGGGTGGGATTTGAGCTGAGCCTTAAATGCTCAGGCATCAGATGTCTTCATATATGCAGCAGACATTTAGGGTAGAGGGAACAGCATATGGAAGGCAAGAACCATCTTGTTCAAGGAGTAAGAACCGAGTAGTGAAGTTAGGAAGAGAAAGGTGAGAGGTCAGGAAGGGAGACAGGGGACTTGCAAAGGCAGGACAGGAAGCTTAAAGTTGGAGATACTTCAGTGCATTGGGAATTTTCTATCAGTGAAGGCTTTTTCGGTGAAAGGAACAAAATTGTCTTAAACTAGCTTAAACAATAAAGATCGCATTGGCTCACAAAACTGAGAAGTTCGGGGGATTTAGGCTTCAGGAATGGTTTGATCAGGACTCAATTGTGCCCTCCTGTGTTGGCTTCATCCTCAGGCTGGCTTCCTGTATGATGCCAAAAGTGGCAGAAGGGGAAAAATGGTGGGGGAGAGGGAGGGAGGCAAACCATGAGAGATTCTTGAATGTCGAGAACAAACTGAGGGCTGATGGGGGTGGGAGAGAGGTGAAGCGGGGTGATGGGCATAGAGGAGGGCATTTGTGGGGATGAGCACTGGGTCTTATATGGAAACCAACTTGACAATAAACTATTAAAAAAAAAGATGGTGGCAGCAACACCAGGCCTCACATGCCAACAACGATACATCTGGAAAAACAGCTCAGTGGTACTATCCCTCCCTCACCAACTACTGTTAAGGAGGTAGTAAAAGCAATCAATGATTTTACAGAGTTAGCGTGTTAAGTATAGATCCACATGGTGCCCACCTAAGAAAGTGAATGAAAACATGCATGACTTGGATTTGGATCCTCTGAGCATGTGTCATAGAAATGTGATTCCAGATGAGCAAGGACAAGATCACAAAGGATCTAGAGATGATTTAGAGTGGTTAGAAGACATTATCAATATTCCATTTCTTTTTTTTTGTAATGTTTTATTTATTTTTGAGAGAGAGAGAGAGAGCATGAGCAGGGGAGGGTCACAGAGAGAAGGAGACACAGAATCCCGAGACAGGCTCCAGGCTCTGAGCTAGCTGTCAGCACAGAGCCCAACGTGATGCTTGAACCCACGAACTGTGAGATCATGACCTGAGCCCAAGTCAGACACTTAACCAACTGAGCCACCCAGGTGCCCCATCAATATTCCATTTCTTTAACAGGCAGTCTTGGCTCCCTTCCGAGATGATTTAAAGTAGAATCTATAATGTCTCTCTAGCTAAGAACTGCTAAGAGAGAATGGTGCAGAACGCCACAGGCACGGTGCAATTTCTAGGAAAGAAATGGACAGAAAGCTGACAACAGCAGCATGTCCAGGTAACAGTACAGGGTAACCACGCCCGCGGCAGCTGGCAGGACAGATCAGAAGAAAAACGGCAACACAGCAGCAGATGCCGAAAGCGTGGACTCTGGCCAGGGCAGGATGGTACAGTCCTAGAACAAATACTTCAGCCACGCTTTGAGGCAGAGCCAGAAACAACAGTGAGCTCCCTATCAGCAGTTACCCCGAGTGGACTGTCTGCAAGTGTACACAGTAGAGAAGGCAGTCAGGGTCACGTGCTGGGCGCTGAGCTGCAAGGCACCACGTATAGGCCAACGTTCACTTTTACAGCCTTGTCTTTAAAAAGTAACCCACTGGGATGGTGACATCTGTGTAAACAGAGGACCCACCTCCGCAGAAGGCCACAGGAGCTGCTCCTCTGGTCCCAGCCCCCTCCTGCACCGTAGTCCCAGGCCCCAGAAGTGGGCGAGAATCTCAGGCCCGCCAAAAGACACCTCTGCCCCACCTAATGACAAGGCAGACCACTTGGAGACTCTTTTATTGCCTTAAAACATCTGGCATTACAAATAGAAAATAAAAATTATGTTTTTAAAATAAAGGAACGAATGGATCTGGTAAACATTCTGTTAAAAAGTTGTAAGGAGCTGAAGAGTAAGCACCTTTCTCCTTATTGGAAGGAAGACACACTTTCTCTCCACCTCTTTTCCACCTCCCCAATCACTCCCCCCACCAGAAGTGGAGGGAACTTCTATCAACAAGAACATACAGAATGTCTATATTCTCTCTCTCTCTCTCTCTCTCTCTCTCTCTCTCACACACACACACACACACACACACCTGGCTCTCCTCAGGTAGTGGCCCAGGCACCTGGCACTGCAGCCGACCAACCCAGGCTGCTCCCATTTGCCAAGGCGGGGGCAGTGGCCACAGCCAAACAGCACCATGGTCATGATCACAGCTGTTCAGTACACAGGAGAAATTACAAATGTCTTATTTTCAGGGGACACCACCCAAGCCCGTGAGTAGAGCCAGACAACAGGCTAGACAGGAGAGGAAGTCACCTTGGGCTGGTTTAAAGAGACTCCCTTAAAATTCACAATATCTGATTTAAGAAAAAGATTATTGCTGGAAGAAAGAGGGCAGGGGAAGGGGGTGGGCGTGAGAATACTGTCCCCTCCAGAGGCGGGTGCACCTAATTCAAGCAGACTCACTTCCCATTTCAAGGGCCACCTTTCCTTCTGCCCCTTTCCTCTCATCTCCCAGAAGCAGCTGTGGATTTCTCAGCATGGAATAAATCAAGGTTAGCTCTCAGTAAAGGTTACAGGAAGTCGGCTGGGATTTCCCTCCCTTTAGAGAAAGCAAGCGCGGAGGCTGATGGTGGAGTTTCTCAAAGTAGTGTCCACATGGAGGCATCAGAGGTGACCATGACCCACACAGAAGTCCCCGGGCAGAGATTTTGTAGAAAAGAACCCATTCCCAGATCAAGCTACCACAGCTCCCAACTGCCTTCTCAAGCGCTCTCACAGGCCTAGGCAGTTCTCTCTCCCAGATGGGTTTCTCCTTCACGGCCACAGCAAAATTTATGTCAAGTTTATTGATGTTTGGTTTGATCCGCTCTTAGGAAGGGGTTTGGCAGCAGACCCCAACCTTAGGCTGGGAGAAGCGAGGCCGAGCCCTGACGGGTTTGTTCTGATGCAGTTTTGTTTTGTTTTGTTTTGTTTTGTTTTTTTCCTGATGGTGCTTCTTCCCACAGGTCGTTAGCAGCCAGTCCACTGACCCCCAAAGGCCCCTCATCCCAGGCAGCTGCCTTTCCTTAGGACTGGGCTTCTAAGGGTCCTAAGACACTGGAAAAAGTTAATATCCTGAATAAGCTCTCTTTCCGTGATAATTTCGCAGGCTCTCTCTTTGCAGGATGGAGGGAAAGGGGGAAGACAGGGCAGCACGGCCCTCCTCCGCCAGCCTCTCCCAACCCCGGCTCCCCTGCCCTATGAGGGGGAGAGGCGGGAATGGAGAGCGCATCTGGTGAAAGGTGCCATCATCCCCAACCAGGCCACGCAAGCGCCTGAGCGGGTTCTGGGGGGCAGAGGCACCGCCGTCCAAGCCACAAATATTCCAGCCGCTTCCCTCCAAAAGCTGTTCCAGGGAAGACCTGTGTCTGGCAGTGAGCGTTGACCGGAGAGGTGGGGGTGCCGTCCGTGTTCCCTGAGTCGCCACCACCTTCTTCCTCTCAGAGATGCTCCTCAGACACAGTGGTGGGGACTTTGCTGGTATTGCTCTCCTCCTCCTCCTCCTCCTCCCCCTCCTGGAGTTTCTGCAGGCAGAAAACAAGCAGGCAGCCCTCTGCGTGAAGAGGTGCAGGACTCCACCCAGGCCGCAACAACTGCCTGTCTGTGATGACAGTCAGCGGAAAAGTGTGAAAACCGAGAGCCAGAGGCCCCCTCGGCGGCCCCAAGAGCAAACGAAGGGAAGAAAAGCAACCAACCCTTGCCAGTGTGTCCTTTAAACACACACACACAGGGGCACCTGGGTAGCTCAGTCGGTTAAGCGTCTGACTTCAGCTCATGTCATGATCTCACAGGTCATGGGTTCGAGCCCTGCATCGGGCTCTGTGTTGACAGCTCGGAGCCTGGAGCCTGCTTCAGGTTCTGTGTCTCCCTCTCTCTCTGCTACTCCCCTGCTTCCACTCTGTCTGTCTCTCTCTCTCTCAAAACTAAATAAACATTTTTTTACAAATTAAAATAAATAAACACACACACACACCCCATCACAGCATCCTCAAAGTAAAAATCCTAAAAGGCCATCTCTCTCTGACACCATGGCCACCACAAACCATCCTGCTCCAAGTGCCGCTCTCAGCTCCCTCTCAGGAGTGAAATAGCAGAGCCCACTCGCCCTGCCCCTTCTGACACCCTAACAGTCATCTGGGCTGGCCATCAAGGAGCAATCCAAAGCACCGGGTCTGCAACACCCACAGAATTTCTGACCACCTCCCTTTGGAGGCAGCCCCCAGGACGAGGAGTACTAGGAGACCGTGCATGGAATGGATGCAACAAAGAGAATCTGCATAAAGGCAGGATGCACCTAAACTTGCTGGCTAAAAACATCTCTATGCACCTAATGCCTAGGGAAGGAGACTTGGGGCCGCTGTGGCTTCCACTGTCTCGGGTAACGATGACCCAGGATGAGAAGAGTCCTCTGAGCCACTCTTGTGATGTGGGGTAGGAACCAAGCACAGCCTGGAAATCGTCCTGCGGGGCCCCTGAGTTCATGCTGTGCTTTGCTTCTTACCCCGAGTGTGCATCCAGTCAGTGAGAAGGCCTTGGCACAGGCCCAGCCCTGCCCCCACCACCGCTCAAGAGCCAGAGGAACATCTCCAGGCCCAGCCTGAGTCCAGTGCCAACTGGACACATGGTGCTCCTCCCCCGGGGACGGTCTCAAGGCTAATGCACGGCAGTGGCAACAGCTGTAGAAACCCAGCCTCCCCATTCCCGCTCTTGCTAATTTTTTGGCACCAGGTCAACCCCAGCCATGAGTAGCCTTCATTCAGGCAACGGGCGGCCTGCTTAAGTCAACCAGGCAGCCCATCTCCTCTCGCTGACACACACGTGCGTGCCCACACACGCCTGCCCCCTCCAAAGCCAGCACTTTTTGAAATCACAACCAGAAACACAGGTTAGTGGGGACAGAAGTAGAGCCACCGTCTCTGGCTGAGAACTACCAACTGGAAGGAAAATGGAAACTCAAATCGAGATTTTCATCATCTGGGTTAGTCATTAGCCCCAAGCCTGAAGCCTGTCTCTTTTTTTCCAAAACTGTACGGCTCACAGATTAGAAAGAGCAGCTCTGGCCACATCTAATGGGCGTCCTGTCTTTACCTGACTCTGATAATGAATTTGTGTGGCAGTGGCTGGGTCTCACTTACACCAACTGCCATGGGGTTTTAATGTTGGGCTCCAGTGGAGGGATGCTCTGTGACAGCCCTGGCCTCCCTGGGTGTCAGCCCACCATGACTCTGACCTTCCCATACCAATAAGCCTCTTCAGGTGCAAGTGAGGTCCAAAGACGCACGGTGAGTTATCCAGGGACACAGACAGTTGAGCACCAGCTCCAGATTTGTCTCCTCTTCCTACTCAGTGCTATTTCCAATACTCCACACAGAAGGCAACTAAGCCAACAACTCCCAACCTTGATTAACAAACCTGGTCCATGTCCACCAAGATGCAGCTGCATGAATAGTGAAATACTGGAACGGCCTAAATATGAAGCAAGAGAAAATGGAAAGATAGATAGACAGATGAGAGAGATAAGATAGAGAGATTAGATAGATAGATAGATAGATAGATAGATAGATAGATATGAGGCTGTAGGATGTAACTATGGAAAAGTTGACAAGCTAATATTAAGTAAACAAGCAGTTTAGGAAACCAATGTCCACAAGCAAACCCACAGAAAACACGTCTGAACAACAGGCTATAATGTAACCAGGTTATCTCCAGGTGCAAGGGTTAATAGGCGACCTTTTCTTTCTTCGTGTTTGCCCGTATCTGCCAACATCAACACAGATTACAGAATAAACAGCAAAATCGCTTATCACTTGACATGATATGTCACATTCCAAATTAAAACCTTCTCCCAAGAAATCGCTCCTGTTTTCTTACTGGCACCTTTTCCCAGGCTCACTATATGTTCATGAAAATGTTCCGAACCGTTATGTTTCCTTGTACGTGGGCACAGGTAAAACCCCATCTCCACCGTGGCAATGCCATGGCCCTCATGCCAGTCTAGAGAATGGCATTTCTGCTCCGAGGTTTTCCCTGCCTCCCTGTTGAATGTGTGGAGCCAGGCTCCTCCCTCCACATGCTCCCTGCTGCAGCCTGCCAACTCTAGAGCGTGATATCAGAAGACAAATAGTAGAGAACCAAAGATTATCATCTATCTGCCAACAAACATCCTTACAACGCCAAATATACCTCTCTCAGATACCATTTTTGCCTTGGAAAACTGGCGAGGCTTTCCAAAACGATAAATCCTCAACATTGGTACTCATACACTGCTATAGCCATATAAATTGATAGTATTGATAGTACCTTTCTAGACATCAGCTTAGCAACACATATCAAAGTCTCTAAAATGTCCATGACCACTTATCCATTTCTCAAGGAAATATGTGCTTAAGAACAAGTGCAAAGATTCAGCTTCCAGGACATTAATCACAATATTGTTTGTAACAATGATTGGAAACAACCTTAATGTCTACAGACAGGAAGACTGTTAAATCATGCTTTATCCATGTACACTCATTAACACGCCATGCAGTCATTTAAGTATGTTATAGGGGCGCCTGGGTGGCTCAGCTGGTTGAGCATCTGACTCTTGGTTTCAGCTCAGATTATGATGATCTCACTGTTCATGAGTCCAAGCCCTGTGCTGGGCTCTGCACTGACAACATGGACCCTGCCTGGGATTCTCTGTCTCTGTCTCTGTCTCTGTCTCTCTCTCTCTCTCTGCCCCTCCCCTGCTCAGGCATGCGCTTTCTCTCTCTCAAAAATAAACATTAAAGAAAAAGAAACTTGGAAAAAAAAGTATATTGTAAAAGAATAATGACCTTATAAAGTGTTCACAACAAGTAAAAAAAAGGCGATAGAAGATTCCATTTTTCTTTTAAAAATATTCACATATCCATATATAAATATAAAAATATATACACCTACATATTCTATGTGGATACAGACATATAAGTAATTGTAAAACAACCAGCATTTCATCTCTAGGTGATGATACAGGATGATTTTTATATTTGTATACTTTTGAATTTAAATTTTTAAATTTTGTATACTTTTCTGTATTTTTTAGTTTTTCTACTTTAGTTTTGAGTAGTTTATTTGTTTTTTAAGTAGTATCCCACTTTTATTCCTCCAATTTGAAATTGCTTTCATTCTGGCTCAGATTTGATAACTAACATCTTGGTTAAAATAGTTCCCAGCTGATTAAAGCAGATAGGAAGCCCTCTTCTGTTCTAGATCATACTCTCGCTTCTCCCCCTTATACCACCATCAGCTCCTGCTTCCTGACTCATCCTATTCAAGGCTTACTGGAAATCCACTGGCTCCAGTCCCTCCATCCCCACGGCACTGCCTAAGGGGCCAAAACATGCCAGGAGAGCCACTGATTTGAGGCCACCAACACCATGGTTGAGGTAGGCTCCCACCTTTCCTCTCCAGCCACTGACCCCAGGCTGAAAGCTGTGGAGCCAAGGTCTCGGGACTTGTCTCAGGATCCAAGAAGTGGGCGCTGCTCAGCGGACTGTGGCAACAGTGACGTGCTCTGGGGACCACACCAGGGAGGCCAGGAGGAGGGAAGGAAGCAGAAGAAGAGTCCAGGAAAGAACAGCACAAAAGCCGTGCTGAAACACGCACCGAGGAGACTCTTGGGCACCATGTTTATGCAAGCTGAGCTGGTCTCATGGAGAACCAGCCCACTCCGGGAGCCCCCTGGGCCCACCCATGTTGCCATGTCCTCAAACAAAGCTTGGGACCCAGCTCTCAGCCCAGCAAGCTCCCATATACTCACATTCTCGGGAGTTTCTTTGTTTGCTTTCTGCCTCCGGAGATCTGCCTTAATGAATGCTGAGGTCAAGGGATTGAGAAAGAACAACAATGGAAATGCAAGAGTTATCAAGGAGACCAATGGTTAAGTTCACCCAAGAGAGAGAGCCCTCCTTTTCCTAAGGGTCACAGGTATCTCAGACCTACTTCAGATATTCCAGGGAGATGGGGGTTCCACCTGCCATCTTGATAAAGCCTGGGGATCACTGATGTCCCTGACATGGGGAAGCCAATGATGACATTGGCCTTCATTTATAGATCACTGATATTTGTCAGAAAGTTTGCATACATTGCTCTAATCTTCACAACAACCCCCATTGTACAGATTAGGAACGTGAGCCTTCTAGAAGCTGGTCCACTTGCCCAAGGTCAAACAGCTATGGAGGTCAGTGTCACAGTCTGGGATGTAGACAAGGGTCTTTTGGTACCAAAACCCAGGCTCGTTCCACTAAAAACATGCTACTGCCTCCCAAACACATTTCCTAACAAGCCTTCCCCTCTGCCCCTCTGCATGTGTACCCCCAATCTGTATGATCAATCAAAACACTGCGGTCTCAAATTCCCAACAGCCTAAGCCCATGAGCATCATCTTGTCGTGAGGCCCCAACTCACCAGTAAGGATCGCTCCAAGGGTGAGGAACACACACAGGAAGATGTTCCCGGGCATGGTTCCATAGTTGTCAATAATTTGCCCCTGGGAGATGGTGAAGATGATCCCAAATACCTGGAAAGGCACCAAGAAGACTGGAAACAAGGGCCCGGCCAACCAGCCCACAGAAGAACTGGGCCGCCACAATGCAAGGCCTGTGTCAGCCAAGTCAGGTAGAGAACAAAGAGCCACTGCTTTGGGGCCACCACCAAATAAGAGCCCTACCTGGGCAGACACGTTAAGGAGGCCAGATGACATGCCTTCTGATTCTGGGTACGTCAGTTCCACAGCAAACTCAAAGCCCAGGGGGAGGTAGCCGGTCATGAAGAAGCTGGAGGCCAATCACAGAAACAAGGTGATGGAGAACTTCAGGAACAAGAAGGACAAGGAGCCCACCTCCTCCCTTAGAACTCCTTTTCCTGTTTTGTTTCTTGCCGTCAAGACTTTCCAGGCCTTTGAATAATGAGGCCGTCCCCCAGGTGGCCATACCAAAGAAAGAGATACTTCTGTAGGTCAGGAAGAAGTTCATATGTAGGCTTCATGCTCTCGAGGCCCCTGGGGTCTGCTGCTTCTGTGTCCAGCCATCGGTTACAGAAAAGGTCAATGTTTACAGAAGGGATGGGGATGCCTGCAATGTTCAGCCCTCCCCTGAGAAATTCCGTGTCATAGGTCCATAAGCCCTGTGCTGGGAGGGGGAAGCCCCTGGACACTGCACAGCATCTCCAGGGCTCTCTGGGACCTGGAAGGAGGAGCCCAGAGTCCTCCATCATCCCTCTGGAGAGTTGCCAGCTGAGAAAGACTGGGTGTCTGTCTGTCTCTGTCTCCATCTCTCTCTCTCTCTCTCTCTCTCTCTCTCTCTCTCACACACACACACACACACACACACACACACACAACAATATCTGGGATGTGAGGCTAGGCAGAGAAGGTGTGCTGTTTCCTAGGCTTCCTCATACAACAGGTTCAGAAAATTCCAGTATCTGCACCACACTTCATGCCGCCTTCACATCTATTTCTCTCTTGCCCCTTGCAACAACTCGACAAGACAGGCCACTCTCATCTTCTTTTAAAGATGTGGAAACTGAGGCTCAGAGCAGTTAAGTGACATACCTGTCCTCAAACAGTCAGCAGCAGAATTGAGACAAGGACCCAGGCTTTCTGATCCCTAGCCCTGTGTATTTTCTAGGACCCTAAATTGTCCCAGGCAGAGCTAAAAAAACCCCAAAAGACTCTAAACATTTCCTAGTCTCTGTGAGATCTGTGAAGGACAAACTGTCCCAACAGCATGGAAACCCCAGGCAGCTTTCTGAAGTGCTACACCTGAACAAGACCTCTGGGCAAGATCTCTACATCCCCAGAGGTCAATGACAAGGCAGCAAAGAGATCAACGTTGCCTCCAAGATGTCGGCAGCTCGAGGAGCCATGGGATGCTGCTTCCCGATTAAACAGTTTAGAGGTGACACTTACCCCATTGTGCCAGCAGTGATGAACACTACCCACAGGTGTTCCAGGTTCAAGGTCAATGTGTACACCACCATGCCGACCACAGTCATGATGTAGACCACCAGGGTTGTCTCCCTAGAGACAGAGGCAAATTGACTTATACACTTCTGACCTTGACAGGATCATTCTTTCATTCATTCATTGTACAAGTATCAGTTGGGGACCTGCTGTGTGTCAAGCCCTCTGCTGTGTGCCGGGACATCTGCTCTCACAGGACTTTCTGTCCATGAGGTGGATGGACACTGAACCAATGATCACAAAGAGTCACTTAACTACACTGTGGCCAGTGCTCCAAAGGGTAAGACCAGGAGAGTATGAAACCATCTTGCTGCACATGAGTTCTCCTCCTGCGGAACCCACTCAACAAGATCAGGCTGCCCCACAAGCAAGAAGGACACAACCCTGTCTTTCCTCATCCTCCACTGAAAAAAAAACAGAACGAACATCAGCAGGGGGCAGGCAGCAGTGGCGTGCAGGCTATCCCCACAAGCTACCTAACTCTGTTCATCCACTTTGCCCCAAGCCCCCATGACAATGCTGGGCAGCAATTTGCGTTTTTAGATTCCCTCTGTCATCTTGAAGTCCCTCCTATGGCCACTCGCATAGGCGCAGCACAGCTTTTTGGCCAAATCTGAACGACTCCACTTTCGACAGCAAAATCTAAAAGAGAACATTCGCCACCCCTGAACTAAGTGCTTGTCTCCAAAGCCAAAGTGAGAAAGCTCCGCCCACTCCCCAGTACATTTCCCTTAGTCGGTGCCCCCTAAGGACCTAAGGACCGTCGTCAACCTGTTGCTTTCTCTTTGGGGCTCACCTTGCTTGTGTTCCTCCCCACACTTTTTCTCCCATGATGCCCGCCCATGACTCTGGGGCAGCCCTGACTCCTGGATCCGGGTTCCTCTCCCTGCCCTGCTTCTACACATCCCTCTGCCTCCTTCCATGAAATGAGGATTCAGACAATGAAAGCTTAAAACCTTCATTCATCTCCCCTGAAGCCAGAAACATGGTGGGGATGCCAGCAGATGTATACCACAGTTATACCAAATGAATGCTGCATTTAGTGGGTGCCAGGAATTCTGCTCAGCACTTCACACACATTTATTATTTCACTCAAGCCTTACAGAAGCCCTGCAGGAAATGCATGACTCTTCCTAATCTTACAAATGAGGAAACTGAGGCTCTGATTAGTTAAATTACTCATTCAGAGCCATCCCCTGAGCAAATGCAGAGCTGGGATTTGGACCCATAGCTTGGATTTGAAACCTATCCCCTTTCTACTGAAAGAAACTAATACACTAATACACATGAATACACCACAGGGTTGCATCTTTGGAAAAGCTCAAGGCCAGAGGGTCCAAAGGATACCCCTCCTACTTGGTGCTTCAAAGCCACCTCTCAGGATAGAGGAGCTTCCTCACCCTCCACCCTGCACCCTCACCTAGCCCCCTCCCCACCCCCTGCAGAAGACAACTTCATGGATACCAGTTTAGCTCCTCTTTGCCATATTTGCTTAACCATAGCCTCATTTTAAACCACTGACCCATTTAGAAAAACTAAATGTAGTCCCAGCCTTGAAATAAAGGGACCTAGCCACCCAATTTCCAGCCTCCAAACCAAATGAGACAAATCTGGGAGCCTCAGGGAGAAGAGAACTGGCACCAAAATGAGCGGGTCACAGAGTCCTTTCTCTGCCCAGGTCAGAGCGCGGGGAGAAGAATGTTTCCTGCGGACCGCAGGAGTTTGACATCAGTGATGCCAGGAAAGGGTGGCATCGACATCCTGAAGTGCTCCCCCAGCCCTTCCACTGTAGTTCCTAGTTCTTCTGAATCATCTGTCCGCCCACATTCCAGCCCAGCTGACGTTCCACTCCATCCCTTCTCCTGCCACAGGGCAGGCCCTGGATAAAGAGACACTGCTTTTGGCTGGTTTGCAGGTGGGCCAGTCCTCACTGCTCTCACGTCTGGCCGAAGCAAGCAACTGACAGATGGCAGAGACGAGGTGGCAGCCAAGCCACACCAGCGGTCATTAAGCCAAGCCAGGCTCCCACATCGTGCTCAGCCAGGCAGCCACAGCCCCAGGGATGGCCTCAACTTACCTTTGTCTAGGACAGCCAGAGCGAGACCTGGTCTGACCAGAGCCTCACAGAAGTGGGTCTGTGTGGCAGAGAACAGGTCTGCCACTGTCTGTCGCCTCCAGACACTGGGAACTTTGGAGGCCTCGACAAAGCAGCCGCCCTGCCCCAGGGCAGGACAACCGTGGCAGCTAAGCAGCTGACCAGCACCCGGTGCGTGCGCAGCACTGGACAGAAGCAACCAGGAGGCAGGGATGTTAGGTCCCTGTTCTCCACAGCCTTTTCTCAAAGCCTGGCTGTTGAACTGAGGCACCAGGCTGGGTTGCTTTTTACAAATGCAGATTCCCTACCAACTGGCCTCCGTGAGGGCGGGGTCCAGGAATCTTTTTTTCCTAAGCGTCCTGGATGTGCCTGGCGTACACTAAAATCTCAGAAACACTGCTCTGGGCTCCTGGAGACACACTGGGCATTCAGGCCCAAAGTACATCACAGGATTCACCCAGGAGTTACAAGCAATCGCAAGATGATACAGTGTAGAACGCGAGAGATGATAAGATGTAAATCAGAAGGCAAGGCCTAACGGCGCCTTGCTTTAACCCCTGGGATCCACCAGGGAGCTAAGGGAATGGGGCGGTGGCACTACTTCCTCGTCACCACTTTTTGGGGCTTCCATAAACTTTCCAGCTGCCGGCATTTTTCCACATTCCTTTTCATTTCTGCCTCATCTGCTCCTTTTGCAAACTACATGGCAGAGGGGTAGGAGGGGAGAAGAGAAGTACTATGCTAGGTTTCATGTCGTCCATCTCTAATCTTGCCAAGATCCCCACGGAATGTGTACTGTTTCTCTCATTTTATAAATAAGGAAACTGAGGCTTATAGAAAATAACTATGAACCACTTGACCACAGAGCCCCTCAGCTGCCGCACCCAAACCTTTGGCGCCATATTGCTAATGAATATGTCATTTCGAAACACGGGCCCCCAATTCTCAGTCCAAGAGGAGGTCACTTACTTGTAGGTTTTGGACCTATCCAGCCAGATGCCTGAGATCATAGCCCCAAGCATTCCTGCAATGACGATGGTCAGGCCAATTCTTCCAGCGTTGACTTCTTCCCCCTAGGAAAACCACAGCCCCAACAATCACCCAGCAATGGGACGAGACATCAGACAGAGCATAGTCACCATGCGATGAAGGCACAAGTGCAGGCAACTCTCACCAGGGTGAGATGGCCTTGAAGAATCTGCCAGTGGGGCAAGAATTCCAGAATAGTTGCTCCTCCCAACCGAATATAACCCCGCATGTGTGTGCATGGCCCTGGATGCTGAGGTGAACCAAACTGTCCTTAGACCTACTTTGCAGATTTTTAACAATTTAATCCTTACAGCAACGCTTTTATCTTATTTATTGTCATTCCCATTTTACAAATGGGGAAACCAAATACATATATATTCAAATATTCCATACTTAGGTTTTTGAGCTATTAGTGCTAAAAGGAATAGGAAGATCACAGTATATAATCTCATTTACTTTGCAAAATCCCCCCACCATAAGGCTAGGAATCAATATTCCCCACTTTACAGATGAAGAAAACCAAGGCACAGTGAGATTAACCTACTAGCCCAAGGTCATGAGGCATTTATTAAGTGGAGAGCCAGGATCTGAACTCAGATGGGTCAAACTCCAAAACCAGAATGGTGTAGCCACAGTAGACCACCACCTCTTCAAGTGTGAGACCCTTGTCCTCTCAAAAGACAGCTGGACCCTAGGACACTCAGTATCCCATTCCCAGGATCCAGCCCTTGCTGGTTCTGGAAGCATTTAAGAAATGCTTTCAGTAGAGAAACTAAGAGTTCAAAATTAACTCTGCCCCAATCTTACAAATTAAGTATTTCACACGTGATCTACATGCATGCATGTTTACCTACTATATTGCCAGGCACCGTGCCATGTGCTTCACATACATATAATAGATATGAAAATGCATATGTATACACACACACACACACACACACACACACACACACAGAATTATCTTCTTTCTAACCCTACAAATACTTTTTCAATAAGCAATTATGTTTCCTTTGCAGAAAGGAGAATGAGAGCTCAGAGAGGCTAACCAGCTTGTCATACAGTTGACACCAGAGAGTGTCATACAGAGTGCCACCAGAGCTAGGGTTGAGACCCAGAGCTGTCTCTCTCCAAATCCCATAAGCATACCACCATACCATGCTGCCTGGAACCGGGGGACACTAGGGTTAACCACTGCCCCAGCTCCTGCTGAGCTGGATAGAAATCTCACTCTCGACAAATCCAGCATGCTCAGGGAACTCCCTTACCGGGTAGTGCAAGATCACCATGCGATTCAGCAGAGTCGACAAGGCATAAAAAGCACCAGCATTCAGACCTGAAAGAGGGAGGGAGAAACAGCATTAGGGGCAGCCTTCTGCTGGGGCCATGGCTAACTTCTCCCCCCAGCAGTCAGGGAGGTCAGAAACCCTCATCCTCGTTGCCATTGTGGCTGGTATCCTCAGAAAGCGTAAGGCTACTCTGCAGTTTCTGTCAAAGAAATACTCCAAAACAACCAAAAGTAACCATTTTAACCCTTTCTTAGCCACACACCACTGCCCCCTGATCCTTTTAACCCTGCCCTGGAGACACAGGCTCTAGAAAGCATTACCCTCAGAACAGTCTACATTCCTCTTAAGCACTGACCTATTGACCTATGGGATCAGCAGAATTAGTGGGCACCTGCCATCTCTTCCTGATGACCTGTCCCCTCTCCAGACTGCTCCAGACCTTTGACCCCTGACACCACTCTCTCTGCAGGTGGTTTCTCTTTCCCCAATCCTCCTTCAACTTCTTCTCAGATTCAATGTCACACAAAGCCCTATATTTGAAACCAGAAAGGACCTTAAAGAGCATTTAGCTGACTCTCCTAATTCATTGATTCATCCGACAAATAAATGAAGCACCTGGAATATAACATAAGAATCCATGTCCTTGAAGAATGAGGCCATTCGTCCAAATCTATACAATGAGTTAGTAGCTAAGACGAGACCGGAACTGACCCAAAGGAGAAAGGGTCTCCTACCCTCCCTTCATAACAACAACAGTGGCAAAGATGGTGATGGTGACGATGATGGTAGAGATGATGACAGTGATGATGATGATGAGAAGGATGATGGTGAGGATGATAGTGAGGATGATGATGGTGAGGAGGAGGATTGTGAGGATAAAGATGGTGAGGAGGAGGAGGAGGAGAAGAAGGATGGTGAGGAGGATAATGGAGAGGATGATGGTGAGGATGAGGATGGGGAGGAAGATGATGGGGAGGATGATGGTGATAATGGTAAGGAGGATGATGGTGAGGAGGAGGATGGAGAGGAGGAAGATGTGAAAATAATGGTGAAGATGGTGATGGGGAGGAGGAGGAGGATGGTGAAAAGTACGATGGAGAGGAGGATGAATGGGGAGGAGGAGGATGTGAGGGGGATGATGTGAGGAGCAGGTGGTGAGGAGGAGGATGTGAGGAGAAAGATGGAGAGGAGGATGGTGAGGGTGACAGTGAGGACGATGATGGAAGGAGCACACTGTTCTCAATACCTTACAATCCTCATACCAAGGTAGGTAATGTTATCATCCCCATTTTATCGATGAGAAAAATGCACACAGAGTTTAAAAACAAATACGGAAGTCACTTTATAATGCCCACCACAGATCTTTTTAACGTTAACTAATTTTGAGGCTCACAAGACTCTCACTGGCACACCTGACATTAGATACACTTACAAGAGTAGAAGTAACAGGACACAACTCGCGGGCAGGGTGCCCTCAGGAGGTTCCTCTGCAATGGAACCAGTCTATGGAACCCCAGACCATGGAGCCAACCATAGGCATACCTTCTAGGGCCCCACAAAGGACAGGCCAGTGGCAAGAGTGACCATACTCAGAGCGGCACAAAGAATGGCTTCCTACCTGCTATGGAAAGGTCCCCCAGTACAGATTGTCATTTTTATTTATTTTTTTAATTTAAATCCAAGTTAATATGTATTGTAGTAATGATTTCAGGAGTACCAGACAGTCATTTTGATCACAGGAGGTCATTTTTATCATATGCAATGTTGCCTAAATGTAGTTGACTCACTCCCTTTATCAGATTCCCAGAGGAATGAGACATAAAGTTCAGCGAAGGTCAGTTGTCATGCAAAATTGGAAAGGGAGCCTGTTTGCCATTCCCATGGTCACACAGGTAGTAAGAGGGGAGGCAGGGCTGCATCTGAACCAGACTCTGCAGCTCCAGGGTCACCAGTCTTAATCATTCTACTTTATATCCTCACAAAACTGGTTGTCAAAGATTTCCCCAGCTCTGGTTATTGACAACTTCATGTCCCAGCAGGTCCCAGCAAGTCACCTCAGGTATGCTGCGAGGTTGGGCTCAGTGCCGCCTCCTGACCGGCACAGGCCCCAGCGAGCTAGAGGATCCAGGAGTGTCACCAAAAGTCACTACAACTGCCAAGTTGCCAATTATGAGAACTCTGGGGCTCTCAGCAACTTCTTACCCAAGCACGCCTGCCTAACCTTTACGCCACACACTCCCAGCTGCTTGGAAATTCCGCTCCTGCATCCAGGAGTCACCTTCCTGGAAAGGAGGGTGGCGTGGAGTGTGGGCAGAGAGGAGGATGAAAATGCCCTCCTTCCTGCCCCTCACACTCCTCTCAGCCCCTGGTCCCAGCCTAATACAGCAAGGGGCAAGGAGACACCCCTGGTCACACTCAGCCTCGGTGGGCATCTGCTCGCAGTCTGGGGTCCAACGGGAATGAATGAGGCGAGCAGAATCTACAGAAAACAGAGGAAAATGATCCGAGAGGACTGGGAGCCAACCTCCACCCCAAACACTGTCACTTCCGTGACCCTGAGAGAGGCAGAGAGAAATACAGTCCCAAGTAGGCTGACCCACACTATTAAAGCTGCGGGGTTTCTCCAGGGCTTAGTGGTTTAGAGGAATCTGTTCCAGAGTGTGGCCTGTGGTCTGTCAGCACCACCTGGGAGCTTCGATGAAATGCAAATTCCTGACCCCACCCCAGACCCACTGCTGTAGGGACTCTGTGAGTGGCGCTTGGAATCTGTTTGACCCCCCCCCCCCCCCCCGGGTAATTCTGATAATGCTCAAATTTCAGACCGGGTGGCTCAGCCAGACCAGAGGGATCTGCAGTAGCCACCCCCAACTCCCAGCCAGGCCAGAGACTGACTCAGGGCTAAAGCTAGGCGGGGGACCAGGGCGGGGAGCAGGAGCTCACCCTGGAAGGCTGCTGTCATTCTCTCCAATCGTTTCTACAGTCCAACGCCAGAGGAATGAGGAGCTTTTGCACGGTTTCTGAAACCATCTTTAATCTAGGTGTCCCTCCCCATATTGTCAGACGTTGCCAGGTTAAACGGCACAAGTTCACTCCACTGTCCAAACCAAGGATCGACGTCCACCTTGAAGGGCAGGAATGAAACGCATGCTCTGCCTTCGCTGTGAATTTCTTTTGTAAGAAAAAACGTTCCTGAGTGATATTCGGGTCTGATTATCCACAGCAAGGTAAGTCTGTCAGATCAGGGCCACACTCTCTTCCGTGAAAGGCCTGGTCACTGCTGGTATCAGTCACCTGGGAAAAGTCCCTGTCACTGAGGAGTTGGGATTTAGGAAGGAGGAAAGGATGGGTCATTACTTTCTCCCCTTTGTCAAACTGTTTTTCAAACTGTGGCCCAGAGACCACTGGCATTAGAGTTAAATAATGCACATTCCTAGGCTCCGCCCTAGATCTACTAAATTTGATTCCGCTGGAATGGAGCTACGAATCTGTAATTTTAAAATAACAACAACACAAACAAACAAACACCTGGGCATTTCTTAGACTCACTAGAGTTCAGGAACAAATGGCCTTGGGAATACAGAAGGTCAAAGACCAGGCCCATGCTCCCAGGTGCTGGCATTAACATGGTGGCAGCTGGGATGGGAAAGGGCTTCGAGACCATGAGAATGACCCACAGCACACCTACCTTAGAGGTTCGCAACCCTGCCGCAAACCAGAATCACCTGGAATGCTTTTTAAGAGCAGATTCCCAGGCCCTCACCCAGACTTTCTGGGTCTCAATGTCCAGAAGAAAAGCAAGGAAATCTAGGAACACACTCAAACAAGCACCCCAGGGGATTCTATCGTCAGGCAAGCTTGGGAAACATTGATCCCAGATCCTATCTCTGGGTTCCGGATACTTTATGTTCATTCCCCTTCTGTCCATCCTTAACTTGTAGTAAACCCTCATTTTAAAGGGCCAGCCTGGGAATCAGGAGAAGGGTATTAGTCCCATTCTTAAGCAAGATCTTAGAAGGGGCGTAAAGCACCCTCCCTAAACCTATGGAGGCAGGGGCAGTGGTAAAGCCCTTGAGAGCCCCAAGGGAAGGTGTCTTTGAAGCTCTGAGTTTGGATACCCAACACTGAAAGATTATTCGGAAGCAGAGCTGAAGGCAAGATCGGGGGATAACATCGAAAAGTAGTCCCTTTGGGGACATTCTCTGGAAGAGGAGCCTTTTCAACAACTTTTTTCAACATGGCAGCTGTTATGCCATTGGCGATAAGACAGCAGAGGAGGCCGTGTGAAGGCAAGGCCTAGGGACCCAAGGAGAAGGTAGCCAAAGAAAAGTTCTTTTCTTCACTCCCACCCCACCCTCTGCTGATACACATCTTAAGACCCACCCTGACCCCAGACTCTGGCAGATCTGTGGAGAAGCTGGTTCCAGCCCTAGGTCTTCCTGCATTGCCGAACTGGAGAAGGGACTCCTCCCCTTTATTAGAGAAGGACACGGTCTCTTATTCCTGTGATGTTTCAGCAACATCAAACACAAACCCCACCTCTGCCCCCCTCCCCTCTAAGGTGGGCTTCCAAATTTAGGAAAAACAAAACAAGGGTGCCTGGGTGGTCCAATCGGTTGAGCATCTGTCTGCCTCTTGATTTCAGCTCAGGCCATATCTCATGGTTTGTGGGATCAAGCCCAAAGTCGGGCTCTGCATTGGAAGCACAAAGCCTGCTTGGGATTCTCTCTCTCCCTTTCTCTCTCTGCCTCTCTCCTGCTTTCACTCTTTCTCAAAACAAATTAACGTTTAAAAGAGCACAACACATCCAATTACATTTGAATTTCAGATAACAATTTTTTAGCATAAATATGCCCCAAACACTGAATGAGGCATATTTATGCTGAAATGAAGTTGTTGTTTATCTGAAATTCTAATTTAGCCAGATAGCCTTTATTTTATCTCTCAAACCTACTTCTAAGGGTATGACCGGAGGCCTACAGGAAAAAGCCCCTGGAATTCCTCGAGAGCCTTCACTGGATCCGCTCTGAGCAGCTGACTCAGCAGCTGG